ACGTTTTGTGCGTTCCTTGACATACGCAAAGCGTTTGACGTTGCGTGGAAGGATGGGGCACTGCTGCGTTTGCACCGTGCCGGCATTCAAGATGGGTTATGGCATTTGATTGACGATGTAATTTCGGATCGCACGGCAGCCGCACGGATCCACTCAACTTTGTCAGATAATTGGGAAGTTGAACATGGAATTGGTCTAGGTGCAGTCTTAAGTGGTTTCCTGTTTAGTCTTTTGATAAACAGTTTGGCCGCGGCCATCAAACGTGCTTGCCATGGAGCAAATTGCACTGCAGACGGCGCTGGCAATGACTTGACAGTCCAAGTTCTGCTTTACGCCGATGACGTCGTAATCTTAACTAGTTGCCCTCATGATTTACAGCGAGCGTTGAATGCAGCTGACGCATGGGCAAAGTCATGGCGCTTCAATTTCGCTGTTGGTGCCAACAAGACTGCCGTCATGCGTTTCGGTCCCAGTCATCGGCGTGACGCCAGGATGCAGTTCTACCTTGGTAATCAAATTGTCCCAAGGGTAAAAACTTACACTTAATTGAGGGTTGTTTTGCAACAAAATCTGAGTTGGAAGAAGCATGCAGACCAGCTATTAGCTCGTGGCGAAAGCCGACTTGCAGCGTGTATTTCTTGGACATCAGCTTCATCGGAACATTTGCCCGTTTCCTTTACTGAACGCATTTTCCAAACTTACGTTGCCCCATCAGCTTGCTTTGGGTTGGAATTTATCAATACCGCCACGCAGCTGCGACGCATCGATGTCCGCATGGTTCAATGGGGCAAACGGCTGCTCACTTGGCCTCGTGGGGCCCCATCTGCAGCTGTTCGGCAGTCTAAGCCGGATATGGCAACATCATCCGATGCGGGCAAGACCGTGAAGGCTCGGGCTGCATGCGGTCCAGCTTGAAATCAGCAGGTTCGTCGGTTCGTTATGTTGGAGGTACATGTGCGTGGCTTCTGGTTGACTGCTGCGCGGCTCCATGCGGCTCCCGGGCGTCTGGGCTCGCGACGCTCCTTTGGAAACTTCGTCTCCTATAGCTTTATAGGCCTGCAATGCTTTGTTTGTGTTGGTTATGAGAGGTGTCGGTGATGGGGCTGACATGCGTACGTCATCTAAGGGATTATGCCTCTGAGCATCCTTTCATCACCATTCCTACAAAAGAAGAAGCCCTCAAGCCACCCAGCTCCATGAACAACCTGGGCTCAGGACTAGGCAACCAGAAGATGGGTTCGGATGAAAATTAGGGAAACGGGCTACACCCTAAGGAAAGCCCTGAAGAGTACCCTGAAGCACATCTCGATTTGTGCCCCATCTTGAGCCAACGTCGAATTGGCATAATTTATGGTCGCGCCTGGTACCCCGAGCTCGATCGGAGCCGACGCTGTCGCCTCGTCGTTGGTGGGCTCGAGGTGGGAGGACGCTGGGCCGAGGAGGCTGCCGCCTTTGTCCGCGGCCGGCCCCTGCCGCTGTCCGCATCACCGCTCAAGCCGCATGGGTTTTTCCGATGGAGTGGCCTAATCTCCGTTGCGGCGCAGCGTGCGCTCGCTGCCACCTTTTTGGAGCTCCCCGTCCAGTCGGAGCTGGGTGCTGCCGGCCCGCCCCCAGCACTGCACGAGCTCCTCGCCGACGCTCGCTGGCAGGAGGCTCCTCAACCCAACCGCCTCCCTGCCCATGCTTAGAGCGTGACCCGCCACCGTAGTTTGCAGCTGGCACAGTGACCTGACCCTCCTTGTGACTTGCAGTTTCAAAAAGGTGCGAAAGAAAAAAAAAAAACAAAAGGTCGTCCAGAAACGCGGCGAGCCGTTCGTCAGGCTGTCGTGCTGGCCAAACGCACAAAGGCCCGGCGCTAACGGGTCCCCCTGTTTGATTCCCTGCTCCTGCGGCATCTCATGCAGCAGCGCCTTCCGCATCCCACCACAAATGGGCGGAAGTGCGCGCGTACATGGCCCGGACGAAAGGCAGCTGGGCCGGGACTGTGGCTTGTTCAGGATAGCGCCAACTTCGCCCGGCAACAGCTCGCCTGAAACTGCTGCTGTTTTTCCTGTCAGGGCAGTGGCGCGCCCGTGCTTGACAATGCGCCACGACTTGCGGAGGCCCCCAGCATTGCACAGGTCCTTTGGTTTCGCTTGTTGATTTGTTTTTCAGGCAAGCTGTTTAGGTTGGACTTCGGGCCGGCGAACAGAGTCAAACCAAACCATGCCCGGCGCTCGTTGCTCACATCAGGCTTCCGTCACAGGAAACAACAGTAGGTGTGACATTTCCGCAACTTGCGCGGAAAATGTCCGGGCGGCATGTCTGAGCCAGTGGCGGTTCTCGTTCAAAACGACACCACGCGTTCCAAGAGGCGCAGGCAAAATATAGGACCCACTTGTCAGGGCTTCAGCCGCACCATTGACCATTGACGTGCCAGGAAAAGACAGGGCCTTGTTAGCAACGAAGATTAAGTTGGCAGCTGTTGCAAAGCGTGGATGGCGGGGCCGTGTCCTGGTGTGGAAGTGTATCCCAAACGGCGGCATAATGCGCCGGGCGCGTGGGTCTACCACTTCTCGGGGTGGCACTGTGCGCCGCGAGTGGTTGGAGCGGGCCGACGCACAGCGCCAACAACAACCAAGCGCATTGCAAATCCGGTGGGGCGGGGAAGTCGCGGAGCAGTGTGCCCACGCTTGGACGAAAGCGAATACACGTCTGAGTGGATGTAGTTGCGATGCACCGCTTGAAACAGCATCCATTTGTTCCGTGGCGGTGTCCAACTCGGGCTTCATGGGCCACCAGCCCACAGCGGGCCACCCCAGAAGATTCGTTCCAGCGTGAAACTGCACCGTGGATAGCCCGTTGTGATGCACCGCGTGTGAAACCATGCTATTCCCCCACGGGCTGGGTGGATGTGGCTGTGATGCACCGTGTGAAACAACGTTCTGACTTGGCACAAGTGACCCGAATATCTCCCAACAAAAAAGACAGCGATCTCGGTCGTCCAAATCTCGCAAGCCAATTTTGCTGTATGCGCCGCAGCGAGCACACCGACATGCGTGCAACTGAAAAAGTGGACACGACGAGCCCTGCAATGGCTGTGTGCGCATGTGAAAGGCGAGAATGCTCATTCTATATGTAATCATACCTGACAAATCCCGAGCGCCAACAGCCAGACCTTGGCCCGCGGAGTTGCCCCACACAGCGGCCGTTAGGGGGGCACTGCGCGACACACGCCGCGGCAGCGCGCCCGGGCTCAGCAGCACACCGTAAAGTCTTGCTGCAGGACCAGGAGGGCCTTGAGTTGCTGGCGCAGGCTGCCACATCCCTGGGGAGCCGAGCTGCCCGACAGGTCACGCGGCCTCGCTCTGGCATTGTTTGGTCACGCGCACACACACGCGCGCGCGCGCGCGCTCTCGCCAAGCAGCCGGGCCCAGCATCCGACGCCGGCTGTGGTCGTCTCTTCGGATGGCAGACGACTCTCCAGGAAGTTGCCCTGAGCCTGCTCCCCCTTTGTCCGTTCTTGTTTTAATGGGCACCTGTCCACAAGATGACGCACCGGAGGTCAGGATGGTGGCGGCCAGCCTTAGGGCGGTTAGGGGAGGTTTACAAGTCATCCAAACACTTCTTCTCGGTGGTGCGACCACGATATGACAAATGCAACAACACGGATGATCTCCAGGGCCAACAAAGCAGTGAAACGAGGTCGTGGTCCGCGTACAAGGACACCTTCGACACCTTCATCGTTGAGGACATGGATACCAGATTCCAGCAACAGGACATCGAGGAGGGACTCGTTGACGAAGACACCCCCTGGCAGTTGCACGGACGGCATTCTAGTCGACAAGCTCAACGCGCAGGTGTGCAGGGCACAGCTGATTGGCAGATGGGGTTCGGAGCCATCAAACGATACGCGCGGGGAAGCCCCTCTCACACAGTGCTCCATGCAGAAATCGTCTCTGAACCTTGTGCTCCTTAGACGCAGTGACGTAGTGCCTACCATGTCGGCTCCATTCGGCTCCTCACAGCACGGGCGGCAACCCACTCGGCTGCTGTGCTTTTGGTGACCATGTGGCGTATATTTCCTTCATCACGCAACTTTACATTTGGGCTACAGGGATGGCTCAAGCGAAAGAAGTCTTCACGTGGCGGCACACAACCACATCAGCGAGTCTACAAGAGACCACAAGGGGCACAAGAGTGCAAACGCTGCTACAAGGCCACGGAGCACAGGTCATCGACGGAGTGCTCCCTGTAGTTCCAACGGTTTTGTGTTCAATTCTTAACTAGCATGCTCCCTTTCCAAACAGTCGTCTGTCACCGCTACGGCTAGGAAAGCAGACCGGGTTTTGACTTTCTAGCCCGTTACAGCTACGGCGAGGACGTGAGTACAGGATCCGAGACGGCACACGTCATGCCAAACAAATACCCTTACACACCTAGCTGCCGCTTCTGCTGATCGCCGCGCCGCACCGCGGCAAAACCCACAACGCGTCATTGCACCGATCCGTCATTAATAATTCACGCAAACAAACAATCCGAAAGAAACACACACACACACACAACCGCTCTTTTCGCGCGAGGGCAGCTCAAAAACAATACACGCGCAAGGGTATCCGGTCCTTTAATTTCCTGCTGCAGCAGACTCCGAGTAGTCACAGTAATCGAGCATGGCCACATGCCATTCCAATCCCTTGCTTACTGTCGTTCTGTGCTTGTATAGATGCTTAGATGCTTCGAGAAGCTTGAGCCAAATATTTCCAGGACGCCTCCCCCCGCAATGAAAAGACACTACTGCACCGCAGCACGCCGCAGTGCCGCCGCGGTGCCGCCGCAGCACCCGTTCTTTACTGTATTCATCTGTAATTCTGTGTAATCTGTCTCCTTGTTGCTGCTGACTCAAAGGTCGATGCTCACACTCAAATATCACAGGATGCTCATGCAGAGCTACAGAGAGTTCTGCATTTTGCGCCTGAACACCTATATTGGTGGCTTTGATCCGATCATATTATGCAAACATCTCAGATCCAGGAATGTGCACGAATTCCCTTCTGCCTCAGTCTGGTGAAGATGTCGTAGCTGTACTGGAATGTTCCGTTGACACCTGACCGCGTACCCCACCACTTGAACATGAGCGGAGACCAAACGTGGTGTTCAAAGAAAAACTCACTGACATGGCCAGGGTTTTCGATGAGCTGGTGGACGATGGGCATTTCCACCGACGGTGTATCTACGTCCAGCTTGAATACGCAAAAATCTTGCGCACGGCATTTCTTGTGGATCTGAGTCATTGGATTATGCTCTGCCCCAAGACCAGTTACGATGCCCACTGCATTGTATCGAGTCAGCTTTGGCTTATAGCGATTCGTGATGTGTTCTGGGACGTTGGCCCAATAATCAGCCTCTGAAATGTTCTTCACCTCCCACACATAGATCTCATCCAGCGGCAAACCCCTGTCCTCATATGTCTGCGCAAACCATTGCATCACTGGCGCGAAAGTCGTCCCACCCGCATCGAAGAAGAGTCGCCTAGTGCCTGGCTGCGGTGGGTAGTCGGAGCTGTCGGCCATGACCAACCAGTCTCTGGTTCCCAGATGTATGTTCGTATCAGGACTATCAAAATCACAAAGGAATCGTGGATCTCGAAGTACCCCCGCCAATGGCTCGAGCACTTGTGGTCTGAACCCTTCCCTGCACAGTGTGGAAAACATAGTACTCTGCGGACTGCGAGCTCTGCCTTCTCGGATGGGTCTTCGCCAACTGTCTTCGTAGTTCCAAGGCTTCAGAGTCTCGCACAAAATGGTGCGATTAGCAGTCAAGACATCTGCATTGCGGTAGAAAAGCTTCTCGATGCTGCTGCTCTCATACCATGAACGAGTACACCATCTTCCTGGAGGCACTGAATTTGCATCAGCGCCGTCCGCACTAGCAAGATTCTGAGGTCTCAGATGTTCACACAAGTTCTGTGAAGCTATGGCGGCTTGGAAATACCATATTGCAGCCAACACCATCACAGAAAAGAGTGCACACCTCCAGGAACGCTTGCATGGGGCCACCAACTCCATCGGCACGCCCAAGGGTGCAACTGCAGTACCAGTTGATCGACACTCAAAAACAACGTGTGTGTGTGTGACTCTGTTACATGCATCTCGCTCATGCTGATAGATGTCTGTTCGCTGAGCTGCTCGAAAGGACATTCCAGGTGGTTTCATCTGTCGCCGCATGTCAGAAAGGTCTGCAAACATGCGCAAACATGGCATGCCATCACACGGAACTCGTTCTTGCATCAGAAGAGTTCGTAAATACAGTTCGAAAACGAACGCGAGCCCACCGCCAACCCCGCATTTACTCTCCCCGCCAACAACCCCCTCCACCCAGATGCTCATGATTGGCAGAACCATTTGCGCAAAAAATTGCACGTACAAACTGTTCACCTTTGTACGGGCCTAGTGCTGCGGAGCTGCAAATCGAGGAAGAAATTTGCGACTTTGACCTTGCAGCTTGGGGGTGTAGAGTTCGAAGCAGCAGAACCCATGGAGCACCCTGTCAAAGCGACGCCCTGTGCCCGCCAGAGTTGCGCAGCCACCCGGTGGGTATGATGTGCACGCGGTCTCGCTCGGTATCAATCCAGGACCGGTCTATGGAGGGAAGGTGTTACGGCTCCCTGGCTCACGCTGAAAGTTTGAGGAGACTGGAGACTCATTGGAGATTGTCATTTTGAGCGACTGTGGTTCTGGTTTCTGGGTGGCAGTGGCAGTGCTGGCCGGTTTGCGGGGCCAGAGGCATCGGCATCAGGTTGGGACGCAGAGAATCGCAGAGACGGCCAGAGTCTTCGAGGGGGACGCGTCCGACAGTTCACGCGAGGGTGTGGCAAGGCCATCGCTGCAGCGAAGAACCCCCGCGCCATGCAAATGCCTCTTGGCGAGCAGCCCGGCCTTTTCTGTTTGCAGCTGTGCTTTTGCATCCCGTCTGTGCAACACAGTGTTTGTCTTTCGATGTGCACATCTTTGATAACCACGGTTTTCAGCAGCTCACTGTAAATGCTTCAGCATCTCATACAGGGATCTGGGAGGGTGGATTGCCACTCCCGAGTCCGCACTCAATTCCATGTTTCCGGGCCTCAGTGGGCTGGGCCGCTTTGGGGTGCTGGTTAGGGGTTGGGTTCCTGCTGGCCCTGTGTGCTGTGCAACAAATCTTCACATATAAGCCACTTGCAGGCTTTTATGGACCTCCGAGTGCAAGGGAGGCCAAGCGCAGATACGTCTATTTCACTTGCCTCAAAGGCTGCTGTCGTCGACAGTGTGTTGCAGCTAGGGTGGGTAGGTGCTAGGCGTATGGCATGGGGTCGGCACTGGATTAAGACGGGTCTTTTGCCAGGGATCTCAGCTCAGCAACAAAACCACGTGGAAAGGGAACTGTGCCTTTCACTGTTGCTTCCCCTGCCAATCTCAGCTTTCATGCTGGGTCTCTCAGAGGTGCTGGGGGACAAGGAGCTAGACACTTTGATGCGTATGGTTCAGCTCCCGTCCTCCAAATCCCGCCAAAAAATGAATTCATATTATAAACATCATAATATGAACTAATCCGCCTCCTCCATTCTCAAACTTTCCACATGCTTATTCGCTTTCTTATGTCTTGCAAGATTACATTTCAGAACATCGTAATCACAAACATCACGGCGAACCACCAAGGAATTTTACAATTTCCTTTCTTCTTTCTTCTCGTCACGATAATCTTTATTCTTTGCCATAATCTCGTCCCTGTGCCTTTCACGATAGTCTTTATTCTGTTCCATCCGTTTATCCTTATTCATTTCTCTAAACAACTTCATGTTTTCTCTACACCGCCTACACGACATGTAACCTTCATCAAATTCCTCACCCCTCCTATTTCTCCGACAGGTAGAACAATTTTTCCTCGGCACTAGTTCATTTACACATACTCTACATATCTCCGCCTCCACTTCAAAAAACTCATCTGCTCGTCTCCGCTTACATCTCATACAAAGTCTTCTAGAACTCAGCATACCTAATAATACTACCTTCTCTTTAAGACAAAAACACGAAAAACCCTTACCAAACGACCTCACCCCCAACCCCCGACCCAACCAAACCCCCAACCCGCCAACTTACCCAAACCCCTATCCAAGCGAACCCGGGCGTGAACCTTTTATAATTTTACTAAACTACACAGAATTATCAACTATCATTTCATATATAGACCTCGTTGTTTCACTTAAATATTGGTAATCTAACTTGAAATCACATATACCATATATAATCGCAAGAAAGAACCTATGCACTCTCTGATAGTGGTCAAAATTGCCACATAGAGTATCATTGTAGCGCTCTTTTTTCTTTGCGTGCCATTTGTAAAAATCATGAGTGCCTAAGTTTTCATACATTTGTTTCATCTCACAATGTAATTCCAGCGTGTATTCGTTATTATCAATATAGTTTTTCAATATTCACAAGCCTTAGAATATTTTGGATATTTGTATGACCTAGTGAAGACATACATGTAATCATCCAATAGACATTTTAATTTACAGCACTTATCACAACAATAATGATCAGAAATTAAACAATTTACAATATGTAAAGCATCACATTTGCTTAATAATATCTGCTGTTTGCTCTTAACTTCATTACACACAGTGCAATTTTTGAAATAATCGAATTTGCGTATTTCCTGATAAAACATTTATGTTTCATCTTCGCTCTCACTTTCATATTCGCTCTCAGTTTCATATTCGCTGTCGGTCATCTCTTGATATTATATGTCGCCTTCTCTTTAAGCCCCTTTCTCCTAAGTCCGTTGAGTTTTTATAATAAACTATTATGAAAACTAATCTTCAAACCCCCTTGCGGTTGTGTGCAAGAGCCTTTTCGGTTGTGTGTAAACCCCCTTGCGGTTGTGCGTAAGAGCCTTTTCAATTGTGTGTAAACCCCCTTGCGTTTGTGTGTAAGAGCCTTTTCGGTTGTGTGCAAGAGCCTTTTCGGTTGTGCGTAAGAGCCTTCTCGGTTGTGTGTAAACCCCCTTGCGGTTGTGTGTAAGAGCCTTGTCGGTTGTGTGTAAACCCCCTTGCTGTTATGTGTAAGACCCTTCTCGGTTGTGGTGTGTGAACCCCCTTGCGATTGTGTGTAAGAGCCTGTCGCTTGTCTGTAAACCCCCTTGCGGTTGCCCCCTTGCGGTTGTGTGTAGAGCCTTTTCGGTTGTTTGTAAACCCCTTGCGGTTGTGTGTAAGAGCCTTTTCGGTTGTGTGTAAGAGCCTTTTCGGTTGTGTGTAAACCCCCTTGCCGTTGTGTGTAAGAGCCTTTTCGGTTGTGTGTAAGAGCCCTTTCGGTTGTGTGTAAGAGCCCTTTCGGTTGTGTGTAAGAGCCTTTTCGGTTGTGTGTAAGAGCCTTTTTGGTTGTGTGTAAGAGCCTTTTCGGTTGTGTGCAAGACGGTTGTGTGTAAGCCCCTTTGCGGTTATGTAGTTTCGGCACATACTTCATGGCACACGAGTTTTTCAACTCTCCATCCTCCTCTCGTCCAAACATAGTCTTTTTAGTTATTACTATAAAAAAAATTTCTATTCCTCAACCTTATTCGGCTACATAACAGCCATATGCTCCATACTATATTTTTGGTTAGGAAGCGCGTTAACTTGCCCTCCCTTCGCTTCCTGAGTCCTTTGCTTGCTTAACCTTTTCCTCTCTTGTAGCGCGGTTGCGTAATCGGGGTCGGGGTCTTGCATTCTCAGCTTATAATATAACCTCTGATACAATGCCATTTGCTCCCTAACTTCGTCCAGTGTCAAATCTTCGGGCTTCTTCATCGCAGTCATTTTATGCTTACTATATATAGGCATGTTGTCTTTAAGGCATTTAACAAAGACCAGCAAACCAAAATCAAAACAGGAGACTAAGGAGAAACTATCTAAAGAAATAATAACAATATATTGTAATCTAGATGCCACCCAGGTACAGATGCACCGACCATAATGCCAACCGGATACTTCAAGCACGATTTCTCTAACAGAACAATTGAAATTGACAGAACCAAAGCCTTTACAAAAGCCTTTTCCTAAATTACACACATACCAGTCTTCACCGAGTTTGATATATGGAAGCCTTACCAAAATGTAGAATTACAAGACTTAAACCTATACCTAGTGGAAGCATCAACTGGCAACATGTTTTTCAACAAAAAACTCCTTAAACGCCTTGAAGAAAAAACTTTCAAAATACGCTACTACAAGCAACCATCACACATTCACGTAAGTGGATTATGAAAATATCCAAACAAGACAGAAATCTATGAGGGTAGGGTGTTTGTCATTGAAGAATGCACAATGACCTTACAAGACACCTTAAACTTAGAAAACGACGAACACGACCAAGACGAAGATGAAGAACATGAAGATGAAGTTGAAGATGAAAATGAAGATAAGACGCGACGCAGTCGCCTCGCGTGTGTAACGATACATATAAATATGTGTAAATATACCGACATATGATCAAGAACCTTAACCAACGGCTGTTGTTTTATCAAAGAACTTCTTCATTACAATCATAATTATGATATGTGTGACACCTACAACACCTTAACGGAGCACAACACAGAAATTATCAGTGTAAAGTCAGACGCCTTTGCCATTAACAAAAATCACCTAACATAATCCATGAAGCTTATAACCTTCAATAACCACGTCGGAGGATGGAGAGCGGAAACCGACAAAGAAAAAAAATAAACTTTCCGACAGAGCCCTATTAAAACATGAAAACGCGACACACCAGTCTTAAAACAACAACCGCCTAAACAGAGCCGACGAATGGAACACCGAGCCACCGTTACCAAACCACAGAAAAGAACCCCTGTAGGGTGCTTGCTAAATACGCTGGCTCGGAAGAATCTGAAAACTGCGAACACTTCCAAAAAGCTTTTTTGCAACGCTTTTTCGTTGTTCCTAACAACCGCCGAAAATCCCCCCCAAGCCCGCTTCGAACAGCCCTTGAAGCCCTTCAAAGCCTCCTTTGAAGACTTTCCCCTCCTCGTTTCTTGTTTTTCTGTGGTTCATTCT